CCGCAGGAAGGGAAGAAGTGTCTGGCTGTGTACCAGCCGGAGGCGCCCGTGAACCTCACCCTCGCCGGCTGCGTCAGCACACGCGCCTACAGGCCCAAGTACTGTGGGGTCTGCACGGACAGTAGGTGCTGCATCCCCTACAAGTCCAAGACCATTGACGTCTCCTTCCAGTGCCCCGACGGGCCCGGCTTCTCCCGCCGGGTCCTGTGGATCAACGCCTGCTTCTGCAACCTCAGCTGCAGAAACCCCAACGACATCTTTGCTGACCTGGACCTCTACCCCGACTTCTCAGAAATCGCCAATTAGGCGGGCACCACACGCAGGGCTCGGGCCTGGCCCAACGCGTGCCAAGCAGCCAGCCCTCGGCGGCCCACGGCTGGGCCCTCCCTAGTCCACTTCCCGTTCATTTCCGGTGACCCTGACCCAGACCCTTGGCCCCTTCCCTGTCTCCGACCACCCCGTGGCCCACTAGGCTGCTGCTCCGGCCCCGGCTGTGGGTCCCGTCCTTGGCAGGGTCCTGCGTGCCCTCCACAGAAAGTGCCTTCTCCATCTGGTCTGGGCCACCCCGGCCTGTGTGAGTCACTGTGTGTCCTGAGTCCCATGGAGCGACTCGGCTGGACCTCTGATCTCGCTAGTCCCCCCTTGAGATGCCAAACGTGAGACTCCTTGGGTCCACGCAACAGGAGCGATGGGATTGAGGACAACGGATCAGTCTACTGCTCGGGCCCTGCCGAGGGGCCCTGTAATAATAGTTCTGACCACAGCACCCCAAAGTAGCTCTGATCCCAAAGATTTACGTACCCCGAAGTCACCAGACATCTGCCACGGGAGGCCCATGGTTCCTGGGCTTGGATTTTTCACGGAGAATTGTGTCCATGAATCCGGGCCTTGCTGAAGCTAAGTTCCTCCTCACTCCTGCGCTGTGAGGGGTACACGTTGGGGTCATTTCCTTAGAAATGCCATTTGGTCAATTTCATTCTTGTTCCTGGGGAAAGTCCCCAGTCAGGACTCCAAGGGCAGAGCAAGGTCAGCCCATTTTCCAAAGGAGCGACGGACGCAGCACGCACCCGCTGCTGACCACCAGGACGTTCACAGGGGATGGGCCAGGCTCTTCCCCAAAGCTAGACCCCCACCGGCCTGGGGGCTGAGGGGAGGTGGGGGAGCCCCTGGATGGCCTCGCTCACCCCTGAGAGTAGTGTTCTGGGACATTCTTCTGCACTTAGGGACCTCAACTGACGTCCAGGCCAGACCCTCCTGCAGTGGCCGAGGTCCAGGCCGGGAGTGGGTCAGGCCAGGGGGTGGGTCCAGCCTGCATCAGCCTGGGTGGCAAAGGCCACCGGGCCCAGGACACCCCGTCTCTTTCTGCCTCAGTGACCCATGTCACAGACTTCGGGTCTGCCGACCCACACGACCCGGTTCTGACCCACAAGGCTGAGGTTTACCAGTTGGTTAGAAACAGAAACCTACTTCACAGGGATCGAGAGCCAATGGGGTTGCAGCTAATAGCACGACAAGGCTGTCCCCGTGGCAAGGAGGCCAGTATTCACTTTGTTGGTGAACTAG